AGGCTCAAGCAATCCTCCTACTTCAGCCTCCTGAGTAGCTGGGACCACAGGCATGTGCCATCATGCCTGGCTAATTTTTGTATTTTTAGTAGAGATGGAGTTTCACCACGTTGCCCAGGCTGGTCTTCAACTCCTCAGCACAATCTGCCCACCTTGCCCTCCAAAACTGCTGTGAGCCACCATGGCTGGCTCCAATAGTGTTTTTTAATTTTCACTTTATTTATTTATTTATTTAGAGACAGAATCTTGCTCTGTCACCCAGGCTGGAGTAAGTGGCGCCATCCCGGCTCACTGTTGCCTCTGCCTCCTGGGTTCAAGTGATTCTTATGCTTCAATCTCCCAAATAGCTGGGACTAGAGGTATGCGCCATCACGCCCAGCTGATTTTGGTCTTTTTAGTAGAGACAGGGTTTCACCATGTTGGCCAGGCTAGTCTCAAACTCCTGACCTCGTCATCTCCCCACCTCCGCCTTTCAAAGTGCTGGGATTATAGGTGTGAGCCACTGTATCCAGCCACGTGTGTTTTTTAAATAACAAAATTAATAACTGAGTTCCATCAGCTGCACTTCTTTTCTGAGAGAGGATAATTTATATACAAGATACAGAAAAGCTTCTTGCACAATGTTCTTTTAATAGGATTTATGTAAACTCACATTTGTCAAGATCTGTAAAAGTATTATATTTCTTCCACACATGTAATTTTTTTTGTACCTCTATCTCAGTGAAGGAGGCAGGCATTGTCATTCCCACTTGTCAGGTGATTAAGATTGCTCTCTGGTCCTGGGAGCAGAAGCAGAAGCGGCCTGAACTCAGGTATGGATTTCATTTTGAAAAAAGGTCTCCTTCTTGTAGGGCATCATCATCCTGGACCCAGTGGGCCTGCCCTTTCTATTTATTTCTTAGCAAAACCAGAAAGTTTGCTGGGGTCAGTAAGATGGAGCATCATGACTGACAAATGCCTGGGATTAGGCTAATGGGTAGGCAGCTGTGAATGGAGGAAGGAGATGAGGGATCAGACCATTTCCCCAGATTCCAGTGGAAACTTTAGAGGCAGTATCTAAACGAATCAGAAAAGCTAAGAAGCCTCAAATACCTTGCAGAACACTGCCCATAACCTCCCACCTTCAGCCCCAAGAAGGATTGGGATGCGGGGAGTCTGCAAATAAAACAATTGTTTACAAAGGCTAGAGAAGCATGCCAGGAAGCTAGTCCAGAGGCAGAGTTTTCAGGGTCTGAGATTGATACTACTTCATCCTGAAAAAAAAAAAAAAAAAAAAAAAAAGTGTGAGTCTTTTGTTCTCTACTCCCTTTAGTTCTGGGAGTGCATTTGGAGTTTCCTTTAAATTCTATGTGGATATGGGAGGCTGAGGCAGGAGAATCACTTGAACCCAGGAGATGGAGGTTGCAGTGAGCTGAGATTGCACCATTTGCACTCCAGACTGGGTAACAGAGTGTGACTCTGTCTCAAATAAAAAATTTTTTAAAAAAGAAAGCAAAATAAAAAATTAATTCCATGTGGATAAATTGAGAAGAGCTAAGGTGTAACAGATGAGAAAGAGACAGATGGGGGCCGGGCACAGTGGCTCACACCTGTAATCCCAGCATTTTGGGAGGCCACGGTGGGCGGATCACCTGAGGTCAGAAGTTCAAGACCAGCCTGGCCAACATAGTGAAATCTCGTCTCTACTAAAAATACAAAATTAGACAGGTGTGGTTGCACCCGTCTGTAGTCCCAGCTATTTGGGAGGCTGAGGCAGGAGAATCAGTTGAACCCAGGAGGCAGAGATTGCAGTGAGTGGAGATTGCACCACTGCACTCCAGCCTGAGTGACAGAGCAAAACTCCATGTCAAAAAAAAAAGAAAAAGAAAAAGAAAAAAGCAGGGTTGGGGCTGGGAAGGCAAGAAGGAGATAGCAGAGGATAGACAAGGGAAATTCCCGCTTGGGAAGGCTCTTGCCTATCCCACTTCCAAGACGGGGGCCCTCCAGAGGACGTCCAACTTAAAGCTTGGATCCTGGGAAGCAGCAGGAGGGGATTGGGGTGTCCCAGGGCAGATCGCCTTAAGGGACCTATTTGTAGACACAGAGGCCCAGAGGCTGCCTTAGGCAAGCTGCTTAGGGCTTTGGGTCACAAGAAATCCGGAGAGTCCCTGGTGAAAATCTTTTTTCTCCTCCTCTTTCTGACTCTCTTCTTCCTTCCACTTTCCCTAAACCTGCTGAATCCCTTAGGCAGCTGGGATCAACATAAGCTAGAAACTGATGCGTGTACAAGGGAAATGGGGAAGCCTAGAAACAGCAGAACCTGGGAGAGGTGTCTGTGTACAGGGCAAATGAGGGGAGCCTAAAAACAGCTGAATCTGGGGAGATGGAACTGCCTAGTGAGAGAGAAGGGGGGCTCTGGAAACTGCCGAACCCACAGAGGCCAATTTGTGTACTGAGGAAATATGGGGGAACCTGGAAACAGCAGGATCTGGGGAGACAGTCGTGTACAGGGGGGCAGACAGAGGGAGTAGCCTGAAAACAGTTGAATCTGGGGAGGTAGATTCGTGTGCAGGGAGAACAAGGGGAGGCTGGAAACAGCACAATCTGGGGAGATGGGATAGTGTACAGTGGAAGCTGGGGCAGCCTGGAAACCGGGCTCTCAAGGGATGGATCTGATTGAAACTGCATGGAGGGTCAGGAGCCTGGGGAATCTGATGTGGCAGGCGGGAGCAGGGACAAAGGCAAGCACAGGGGTGGAGTCGGGTGGTGGTTGGGTGGAAGGGGAATGGATTGGTACCCCCTGCTTTGTAGGTTTGAGTTAGACCCCTTGGCAGCCTCTTCTTGCAGACAGAGCATGGTAAGTGAGTAGCTCTCCAATGGGAAGCCAGGATTTCACACAGAAGAGAAGGGTCTTTGTGTGCAGTTGCTGCCCTGGTCCTAAAATGAGCAAAGCCTGGAATTCCCTAGGGGAGACAGCCCAGGAGTTGGGGTGAGGGAGGATGAGGAGGTTGAAGAAGCTTCGGTCCCTTTGCCTGCCTTCTTCCCAATCCCTCTCTGACAGGGATTCTTTCTCCCGACCAGCCTGACCTCTTCCCTCAGCAGTTCCCTTCTGAGTGACAGACAAAGACAGAGCTGCAGACAATCGACTGAAGGAGGCCCCACAAAAGTTCCCTCCCAACCCACCATCCCCCATTCCCCCCCACAGAGGCCCTGGGCCAGTCAGGGCCAACAGGAGCTGTCACTCTAGTGGAGCTGCCTTCAGGTGACAGGCCTTCAGGAGACAGGGTGACTAGAGGCTGGGAAAGGCCTGAGATTTTTGGGATTCTGTCTGTGCCTCCTGGAAACCCGACTTTCCGAGCTGGTTGCCTCTGAGAGAGGAAGGAGGGCAGAACAGCGGCCACTATCGCAGAAAGAGAAACCTGGTTCCACTATTTCTAGCTGTGGGATCTTGGCCAGTGGTCATTCCTCTCTGGGTTTCAGTTTTCTCATCCGTAAAATGAAGAATTGGTCTAGATCTCTAAAGGCTCTTGCAGCTCTAATCCTCGTGAGGATTCTTAGCAGCCTCAGAGAGAGAGCTCAGCCTGGCATTTCTTCTCATTCGATAATATGGCTCAGAACTTTCTGGCGACCATTGTGGGGAGGCAGGCATTTGGGATGTTGTGGGAGTGTTTAGGCAAGTTTCCCTGGCATTGATAACACTTCTGGAACATGTGTGTTTCTACTTTTCATCACTCTAAAGGGTTCCTCCCCATGAGCAAAATTATTTTTTGCTCCAACCACCTCGGGCTTCCCATCTTGTGATTTAGGCTGGAAGGTGGAATCTGAACCCAGAATCTCATCCACCTGTCCCAAATCTGCCCTTTTTCTCTGCTGGTCTCACTCCCAACCCCTCTGTGCTTTTTTGCCTGTGGCTTCTCTTATTACCCGGTTTCTCCTAAAGTCAAGGATGTTTGGAAAGGGGATTTATGCTTGGGATCTTATAATGAAGCCTCAGAGGCTCAGGGAAAGGACCCTCCTCCCCTGACAGAAAGACAGTCAGGTACCCCAAGTCCCTGAGGCATCACGCTGCCCCTGTTCATTCCGAAGCCTGGAGAGGGTTCGCAGTGCATCCCTTGCAAGGCTGCCAGCGGGGAGTACATCTGAAACCACCTATACGAAGCCACCCTCAGCCTGGAAGCGTGGAAAGCATAGTGTGTGGTGGTGCAGAGAGGGTCAAATAACCATGGGCCTAACTCCTGCCGGTCCTTAGTGGCTGGAGTACCAGAGCTGTGCTTCTCCACTCCTGCCTTTAGTCTGAGAAGCCACTGCGTTTAGCACAAGAAGCATGGCTTAGGCTGATTCAGCTCTGATGGTTCCAGATACCCTGCCCATCTCCAGTCTGCGCAGATGAAATCATTCCCAGCACTTACAGAACGGGAATGGAAGAGTCTTGTCCAGATGGAAGGGGAACTATAGTTGCCTGCCTTACCTCTCTTGGGGACCTCAGGTGACCTGCCTCAACATACCAAGGGGGAGGAGGAGGAATCTTCAGGGGACAGTGCTGAGAGCTGGATTCCCCAGGTCCAGTGTCACCAGAGATGGCCTGGGGAAACAGAACCTCTTGAGAGTCGCACTGGGGCCTTCCTAACACAGGCTGAGTGAGGGGTATCTCTCCCCAACTCTGCCTTCCTGGGCATCGTCAGGGATGCACGGGCAGTTCTTAATGAGTCCCAGGGCTGTGGGAGCTGAAGGGGTGGTGGGCTGGACGGAGGAGGGAGCGGGGAGGGGATCTGATTAGAATCCAGGCCGTATGGCGAACACTGCGGAGATGGAGGTAATCACTGAGCGGGCGAGACAGCGTGCTCCGCGACAGCAGGCCGCCCCGCCGTCGCCATGGCAACCGCGGCCTCCGGGGCGCGCGGCTCAGCGCTGCTCGGCGTCCGCGGCGGAACATCTGCTTTGCACGGGGCTGCTGGGAGACCGGGGGCGCGGGCGCGGCTGCTCCCCCCACCCCGCGAAAAAGAAACAAATTAGGCCAACTGTCCAATGAGGGGCCGCAAATGTATTTATTAATGCGAGGGAAAGGTTGTTCCGGAGCGCAGTTTGATTAATGTTTGAGTCTTCAGCTTGTCAGTCTGGTTTTGTCTCCTGCAAAAGGGGAAAAGGGAGGGGTTGGGTGAGGGGCTGGTAGGGGAGTGGGGAGGAGAGAGACAACAAAGCGGGAGGGGATGTTAATAGCTAAATAGGCTCTTTTTCATGTTTCCCCCAGCCTGCCACCCTTGATGGATGGCTCAGACAGACACCAGAGCGCATCAGGGAGACGCGAGCCCCTCGGAGAGATGGCGAGATGGAGGAGAGGGGGCCGCTGAAGCCTGGCTGGGGTCGGTGGGGCGGGAACTCCCCAGGGCTGCCTGGAGAGGAATGGCCCCAGGAAACGGAACGGGCAACTCCTGGGGAAACCAGAGGAAAATTGCACTCATGTTTACAAGTCTTCCCTCCTCTCCCCAGTTTGCCCCTCTGGGCCCTGGAGACAGCACCGAGGTCGGAGAGTGAGGGTCTCCATACCCTCTGGATACAGAAAGGGGCGAGAAGCTCTCTTCCGTGGCTTAGGGATGGGAGAAGGGAGGTGGGCAAAAGCCTATGGCTTCGAATTCTCCTTCCTCTCACTTTCCTCTACCCTTTTCTTTCCTCTCACCCTGTGTCCTTGGCCTTTTATCTTATCTTCACTTTTACTCTGTTGTCCCTCCTTCCTTCCTCTTTGTCTCTTCCATTGTTTCTTTCCTCCATCTCTTCCCCTGCCCCGGTTGGTGACATCAGCTGGCTGTGATAGGAACTGCCTTGGGGAGCTGTCTTCTGTGACCAGTTTGAACACCTATACTGCTTTCTATTTTTCCTTCCCTAGAGCCATGGGGGAACTGAGAGCCCCCTTGGAACCCCAAACTTGACCGAGTTTGTGAGAAAACACACACACACACACACACACACACACAGACACACAAACACACCACCCTTTTTCTGCCCTCCCCACCAAATCCTTCTCACCTCCAGCCCACTAGGAATATGGAGTGGAGGCCGGATGCGGTGGCTCACCTCTGTAATCCCGGCACTTTGGGAGGCTGAGGTGGGGGGATCACCTGAGGTTGGGAGTTCGAGACCAGCCTGACCCACATGGAGAAACCCCATTACAGAATTAGTTGGGCGTGGTGGCACATGCCTATAATCCCAGCTACTTGGGAGGCTGAGGCAGGAGAATCGCTTGAACCTGGGAGGCAGAGGTTGCGGTGAGCCGAGATCATGCCATTGCACTCCAGCCTGGCAATAAGAGC